GGTTGAGTGAGACTGGAAAAGAGGGGTGGGGTGGGAAGGGGCGTGAGGGGAGGGTAAAGGAGGGGGGGGTGAATGGGGGGCAAAGTTTTCTCGTCTCTCCTGGAATTTTTTTATTCTTTTGTTCTTCTAATTTCTATGCGAAAATATGGTCGTTTTTAAGGACAAGCGAGCTAACCCAGATTTCGGGGGTTTCTAGAAATCTTGATCTACGCCAAAAGTGGGCATTGCCCAACCTATATGAGAAGTTTGGTTTCATTGTTGTGTATATTTGTTTGGTTATAGAGTAAACTATCCTTGTCATTTAAAGAAACTGAATTAGGATCCAAAAACTTTACCTTCGATTTTTCTCAAAATAGTATTTTTCTGGATAGCCCCCTTGTGCTTAAAAGCGACCATATACTTTTTAAAAATAAACATTGGCATATGTCATCGTACATTCATAATACTATTTTTAATCGAAATATTGACCAAAGTCCAACCATGTTGTAAACTGTTGTGAATGCAACCAACTCGTGTTTCGCACGCTCATACGACCTTGATATACAGTTGCCCGCGCGTAAATCTCTTACTAAATTAAACAAAATAATATTATATAAAAGCAATTAATAAAAAATAAATGACATTTCTATAGCGCTCAACCCCGATTAAAGTATACACGCTCTGAACGCTTTACAATGCAATGCAATGTGCAACAGTAACGTGAAACGTTGTGTCCTGACGAAAAGAAAATCACTCCAAATAGCGATCCCATTAATTAAAAAAACAAAACAGAAACGACTTCAGCTGACATATGAATAAATCAAAAGATTTGATCTCTCTAAAAATGGTTGTTACCATTTAGCTATTGTCAGAATACATCAATGTGTATTGCTCTTTCAAGTATGTATCTATAATTATAATTCACATTTCTATATGTGAAGCAGCATGGTGGAATCAGGCTCTCGTCAAAATAATCAAAGTGAAGAAACTTGCATTTTTCCACAGGTTTGTGAATTTTTATCAAATTTTTGGCTCAACTCCTCACATGCTCATTAAAGAACTCATTTCTGTGCGGATTTTTCTGAAAAGCGTTGATTAAAGGCACAAAAGTGTACATTTTCAGTTACCACGGACTCTTAAGCTAAGGAAATAACTAATCTTTGGCGGCCATTTTCTCACTATTTTACTTCTGAAAACAGGTGACCCCCACCTCCTTCTTTCACAAATACTCGACTTGTATTCAAGATAAATGGATATTTTTTTCATCCAAATAAAGACAAGTGAACAAGCTTTAAGACGATACCAATAACTCTACATGCCCAAAATTTGACGAGAGCCTGATTCCCCACGCTGCCTCACATATATACCTCAACCTAAATGTGCTTGGACGGTCCTGTACAGCCAAGAAAATTTTCCTTCTGGGATGATAACGTATTATCTTATCGTATCTTATCTTATCTTATTTTATCTTATCTTATCTTATCTTATCTTAAAGCGTGCTCAGTGAGTTGATGGTTCTATTTCCAGGAATAATTTCACCGAGAGTAAACCAGGCCGCCTCCCTCCGATCGGTGCTCCAGACAGAGACAGAGAGTTTCAGGACGGAGTCACCAACACAGGCCCAGAGATGACCAAAGTCGGCGTGGAGAACACCGGCTACTCGGACGATGACATCATAGAGATCAAAGACCCTGACGCCATCACTTCCAACGGAGTCAGCAGTAACCATGACCCGGAAGCAGGAGTTGACCCGGATGTCGACGCTGACCCCGGCCCCGCCCTGGATGCCCCCGTGGACTTTGACCCCAAGACAGAGCCTCTGTGGTACTGCAGCTTTGTCGCCCGTCGGTACAAGCTGGCCTTTGGTGAGTCTCATTTTCTTTTTGCACTTTAGTTTAGGCTAGTTTTAATAAGGTTTTACGGCGCTCGCAACTATATATGGCCACAAGAGCGCCAAGGGGTGGATGTCAATTGAGAAGTCCAAACGGGGAATCAGGCTTACCCCGCTCACTTCTTTAGTCTCAACAGCACAAAGTCTGCTTCGACTATCAAGGCGCCCCAAAAATAGCAGTTCACAAGAGTGTGACAAGCATACAAAAGAAGTAGTGATAAATGACGATAGTAAGGATGAGGAAAGAAAAAGCAGCTGTTCCCCCTATGTTGTTCCGGCACAGTATGAGCATGACATTGATAAATCAGCCCATTTACAATTCTACTGTGCATTAGTATCCTCCCTTTGGGAATGGCCTAAAGAAACTTCAGTCAGTAGAACTGCCCTTATTCCACTTGTATTTGAGTCTTTACGTCCCTACCTGTGTCTGTGGTGTAGCGGCTAGGCGCTTTGCTGACGCTCGCAGGAGAACCAAGTTCGATTCCTGATTATGGAAAAAATGGTTAAATCGAGTATCTTGCTCTTTCTACTGGGCTGTTCTAACCCTCTCAACCCGAGGTTGGCTCTGACTGGAAAGGTCGGAAGCCCGTCTCGGAAATTATCTAAATTGTGTCCAAGGGCCGTTTAAAACACCTACATTGAAATAAAAAGAGAAAAAAAAATTAAAGTCTTTTTATAACTAAAGACAGTTTCACTGGCGTGAGCTCAAATCTTGAAACAATAGAAACATCTCAATGACCACCGAAATGAGAGTTCTAAAACACTTTGCGTGGTCAACTCTTCTATTCGGCTTTAATGCTGGACAATTATCAAAGATAGTGGAAATGAAATAAAAGCAACAAGAACGTGGTTTGTTGTGAGACGGTTGAGAATTTCATGGAAGGAAAGAAAGTAAAAGATGTAGTGCTTAAAGAAGCAAACATGGGCCGCTCGATAATAATAAAAATAATTAAGAAGGGACACATGCTGTTTCTGGGGCACTTAAATCGACATAAAAGCCCCGAATGTCTTTCTATCAATGACGAAATTGAAAGCAAACGAAGGCACGGGTAGACCTGGACCAACGTGCTGGGGGACATTATAAGATGGGCGATATTACCCCTTGAGTTCCTTCTTTTAGTGCATCCGAACAACGAGATAAATGGTGAACCATAACCGCCGATCTCTGTTGCAGATCTGGCACTTTATGAAGATGAATATGACGTTTGTTTCGACATCATGATCATGAAAAGCCAGATCCTCAACGGATATCAACAGCATGGTTCGCCATTCACATTATCTGTCATGCCGATAATAAAAAAGCAAAGTGTCATTATACCATCTCTGTCTTTCTCTATCACCCACATTCTGTTAAGGTTTTCTAAGTAGGCTGCTCGGGGTAGCCCAGTCTCGTTTGCCTTTTAATTTCCCCCAGTGAAAGCAAAATGTTCAACGAGAAAAAATATATCTGTAGAACTGTAGAAAATAGAAATTTAATTTTAAAAAATAAAAAATAAAATAAAAGTCTTGGTTTTGTTTAGTATTGCTTTGACTGTACGTGTTTTACGCTCTCATTACACAGTTTAGATCGTTTAGGAGACGAGTTCGACCTGTCTGATAGGGTCTACAAGTCGGGCTGAGAGGGATACAACATCCTAGCAAAAAGACTGAGATACTCAATAATACCCCCCCCCCCCAACCCTCACTTGGTAGTAGAACTCGGGTCTCTAGCAAACGACGGTGAAGTGCCTAACTCAACATCGGTATGTCTATTTTGGCCCCTGAGTTTGAGTAAAGAGGAGCACAAGGACTCTTTAACAGTCATTTAGTGCAGTCACAAAGCAAAGACAGACAGAGACTGCAAGAGACCTATGAAGTTATCTTCATTCAGCATTGAATTTGAACTCAGGTATTACATAGCGTTGTTAGTACCAACTGATAAAGGGAGACTAGCAGCTGAACAAAAGAGCCGTTGATCTGGTAATAACTTTTGTATAAGAATGATCTAGTCACGGCAGAAGCCTCAAAGGAATCGTCTCGAGATCAACGAGGTCTGTGCTTTCGTTCTGTAATGACTTCCTCTCATGTTGTAATCGAACAAAGGAAATGAAGTAACCGTTACAAGCTCGAGCGAGACCTTAATTACTGCCATCACGTCGTTAGTTCCTCCTCAGATCAGTTAAGCTCGTTAGTTTTCATTTGAGTATCTCCGTTGTACATCGTAGTTGACACATCAGCTGAGTGGTGTAAGGCTTGTCTTGGACAACTCTCTACCTCGGAATTACTAAATTCTGTCTACTCAGTTCCTAGTTTTGATAAACCTGGCGTCAAAATGTTTGAGTTTTCACAATATGTCAAGCTTTTACGAATGCATTTCTATGAATATCTTTTTAATAACGACCCCGAATATTCTTACGAGTTTGATAGAACAGATACAGCATTTACTGCTTTCTGACCTCATGGTCTTAATAACTAAAAGCGGCCAAAAATGTCAGATAGAACTTTGTAATTCTGAGGTAGAGAACAGCTTGAAAGTAGGTCAAGCCTCTATCTATTCACCTGGCCTTATTTTCTGAGAGAAGAAAACTACTATATTACTATAGTATTACTATTGATTAAAATTATAGAACTCTTAATACGTTGTTTTCTTCTTGAAGTTTCTCGTTAAGTTCCTGTTAGATCTTGGTAAATTGTATTTAACTCTTAAGGCGTTAGTTTCTTCTTGATGTTTCTCGTACGTTTCTTCTTAATTCTGGGTAAATGTTATAGAACTCTTAATGCGTCAGTCTGATGAGCTCTTCACTGATGTAAGTAAGCTGGGGATTAGTGGTGCCTGAGATTGAGAATCGATGAAGAGATTTTTGTTTCTAGTCATCGCCGTCCCAGCTGCCGCCTTCATAGAGATGATACCACATTGACATGTTGAGGGCCGTTTTAATGTAGGTGTCTTTTACGCCCCCATCGAAAACGTTTCGATCTTAAAGGGGGCGGGCTTGGACACTGCTTATCAGGACCAACCCAGGCTGAGAAGGAAGCAACATCCCAGAAGAAAGACCGAGATACTCGTTTTAAAGTTCTCTCCACTCGGGAATCGTACTCGGGTCTCCTGCGTGCCATGGCGAAACCCCCAAGGCGCTATAGAACGGAGTTCTGAACACTTTCAAACGTAGCCTAGTGGTTAGGTTACTAGACTTGAGCCTCAGCTCGGTCCAACATTGTGTTCTTGGGTAAAGCAATGAACACGAAATTCCCACTTGGCTCGATCTTTTCGGAGATGGGCGTAAAACTCGGAGGTCCAGCCTCTTAAATAACCTAATAGTGTTTATAGGGGGCGTTAAACCTATACCATTTTCACAGTAAATGCACACTAATAACTCATAACGTCTTGTCGTTCGACACAAAAACCATAACATGAAAGCAGTCGATCATTTTCCTTTTTTTCCCTCTTCATGCTGAGAAAACGAAACGAAAGTAAGCTTTAAAAATGTTTTAGAAAGGTGGTTTTCATGTGCTCAAAATTCTGCATTAACAAGGAAACATATCTAGATGTCTCTGATAGATAGTAGATTATGTTTTCCACTCCATTTGATACTTTCAGCAAATGAAAATGCTTTGACCATTGCGTTTACAATAAAGTAAGAGCTAGTAACCATTCTAGATATAATAACGCGTTCACCGTAACCTAGAGGCAATGTTCCTTGCAACCAAAACGCCGATCCAAGTACAACTAAGTCGGTCATCAGTCGTTTCGTTGTTTGGGGGGAGGGTTGGTTTTTTTTTACCTGTATTGAATTGATGTAAAAAAAAAGAACACTTACATACGCCAAACAACGTTTTGATGTAACCCCCACCCCTTGTTCCTCTCCTCCTTAACTAATTTCCTATCTTGTCAATTTCTTTTATGGTGCTCCAGGCTGTGGTGTTCAAAAATAACATTTCCATTGTTAGATAGAAAGCCACACCGACCGTTCAGTTTGTTTGTGAGAGACGAATTGATGGTATCTGACACAGATCAGTCGACACAAATTGGTGATACAATATTGATTTATCAGGCCGTGCTGGGCACCTATGTTATAGTTATCATAGGCATCGTGGTGGAATCAGGCTGTCGTCAAATTTTGGGCATGAGGAGTTATTGGTAGTATCATCTTAAAGCTTGTTCACTTGCCTTAATTTGGGTGAAAAACTATCGATGTATCTTGAATACAAGTCGAGATATTTGCGAATGAAGGAGGTGGGGGTCACCTGTTTTCAGAGGTAAAATTAGTGAGAAAATGGCCGCCAAAGATTTGTTATTACCTTAGCTTAAGAGTCCGTGGTAACTTAAAATTTACAATTTTTGGTCTTTTAATCAACATTTCAAAGAAAAATCCACACAGAAATGAGTTCTTTAATGGGCATGAAAGATGTTGAGCCAAAAAAACAAAACATTTTGATAAAAATTACAAACCTGAGGAAATAATGCAAGTTTCTTCACTTTGATTATTTTGACGAGAGCCTGATTCCACCACGCTGCATCACCTATTAGTTCAATGCTATTTACGAGAACTTTTTCCAGATTATTACCCGTACTTCACTGAGTGATTCAAGTAGAATCTGATGGATATGACCTACGTTAAGAGACAAAATAGAGGCCTGCCACATTAATTACTCTGACACAGTCTCTATGCCGGGTCGTGAATTAATTAAGAAGAATAAATGGAATTTCTCATGCAAGTTGCTGACAGAAACAGAATGATTATATCCCAGGTCAGGGTGCCCTGTGACACCGAGGTGCTAATTGTGTCTACACCAACAGTAATCACAGCAGCTTGTTTTGTCTTGTTTGTTGATTAGATGAAGAGGAAGGTCAAGATAAGGATGGATAGGGGAGGTCAGGGAATCATTAGACAAAAATAGCATAACCTGACAACACACGAGAAACAGCCATTATGTGCTTCTTCCCTCGACACAGTTAGGTAACATAGGCCGACAAAGTAAAGTAAATTGAAATGAAATAAGTTTAACGCCCCTATCAACACTACTAGTTTATTTAAGGACCAAGAAAGGACCGAGCCAAATGGGAAATTCATTAAAAGAGCTGAGGCTCGAACCCCCGAACTCGCAATCTCACGCATTCGAGCCCGGTAACCTAACCACTAGGCTACCGACGCCATACAAAGTAACGTGGGTCTGGGTTGCATGTTAATATGTTTGTTTATTTGCTTGTTATTGTTCTTTGTTATTGTTGTTTTTTGGAGGGGTTGTGTTTGTTTGTTGTTGTTTTCGGAGGTTGGGGGGGGGGGGGCGGGTTGTACTGTAGAGGATAAATTCAAGAGTCTGAATTCACCATTTTCATCTCCCTGCATGTTTCAGCCCTCGGCCTCGGCGTGCACTTGGGACTTGTCGTTCTGTCCGGAATTCTCGTCGTCTCCGGCTATGACCTCTTCCCAACAGACTTCGGACAGGTGAGCTCTACGTCCATTGTGTGTGTCATTACGTCCTTTACTTTACGTCCATTGTGTGTGTGTCATTACGTCCTATACTTTACGTCCATTGTGTCACGTTAATACGAGGTGCCCATTGCGGATGGGATCAGGTCGGGTCGTGTCGGGTCGGGTCAGGTCGCGTCGGGGTGATCGCCCCACTCGTCGCCTCAAAACGCGTTTGTTTTTTAGGCGAAGAGTAGGGCGCGATCGACTGGTGCCACGTTACCCCCCCCCCCCCTTCAATCTTATCTGACTAGCAAACTGCCCCGACCAGACCCGATACCCCAATGGGCACCCCGTATAAGTTTTCATTGTTAAAACAAAGTCATCACCGAACCACCAGTATATATATATATATATATATATATATATATATATATATATATATATATATATATGTGTGTGTGTGTGTGTGTGTGTGTGTGTGTGTGTGTGTGTGTGTGTGTGTGTGTGTGTGTGTGTGTGTGTGTGTGTGTGTCATGACCTGGTGGGATCAGGGGCTCGTCACTTTTTGAGCATTTGAAGTTATTGGTATCATCTTAAAGCCTGTTCATTTGCCTTCCTTTTGGTGAAAAAAAATCAATCTATATTGAATAGAAGTGGAAATATTTGCGATTGAAGGAGGTCAGGGCCGTCTGGTGTCAGAGGTAAAATTAGCGAGAAAATGGTCGCCAAAGTATGGTTACTGCCATAGCCTGAGGGTCCTTGGGAACTGAAAATTTACATTTGTGTGCCTTTCATCAATATTTGTCAGTAAAAATCCACACAAAATTGTGTTTCAAACGGACATAAAAGGTATTGAGCCAATAAACGAAAATAAATTTTAAAAATTGCCAATCGAACAAACAAAAGTGTCCATTATTTTGATTTCGTTGTTTAGTCGAGCGCCTGATTTCACCACGATGCCTCACACATAGCTTGTGTTTTTCATGTACAGGTGCCGCTGAATCTAAAGGATGATGCCACGTATCTCAGAGCTCTTGCCTGGAAGTACCGAGATGCTGATCCGTGAGTTCACTCGTCTCTTCCTCATCCTTGTGTTGTCTTCTTTCTATCTGTCCTCATTCTTTATGATATAATTAATTTGCTAAGATGTTTGGATCTATCTATCGATCTATCGATCTATTTGTTTAGCTGTTGGGATCTATCTATCTTTCCATCCATCTTTCTACCTTTGAATCTATCCACCTTTATTCTTTATGCATGAATTAATTTGTTTAGCTGTTGGGATCTATCTATCTATCTATCTATCTATCTATCTATCTATCTATCTATCTATCTATCTATCTATCTATCTATCTATCTGTCTGTCTGTCTATCTATCTATTAGTCTGTCTGTCTATCTATCTATCTGTGTGTCTGTCTGTCTGTATATCTCTATTTATCATGCATGATTTAATTTGTTTAGCTGTCGAAAACTATCTATTTATCTTAATGTTTATCTATCTATCTTCATTCCTTATTTATGAATTCATTTATTTGGATGTCGAGAACTATCCATCTATCTGTCTATTTATCTATCTGTTGAGCTATCTGTTTATCTATCGGTCTATTTATCTTCATCCTTTATGCATGAATTAATCTGTGTAGATGTTGGGAACCGAAGTGACCAATCCCATTACCAGGGAGCAGACAGTAGAAACCAAAGAAAGGTTCATTGACCGTGTGTGTGCACAGATGTAAAACTTTCCCTGATCAGAACGATCGATGAACCAGACACAGGAGTTATCTCCCCACCTTGTGATGACGTCATGCAGCGCTTTGTGGAATGTTGTGACCTATCAAAATTGATTCACTTGACATGCCAAGACAGAGACAGAAACAAAGACATATCTATCGATCTATCTATTTACTTCTGCCTCTATCTCTCATGAGGCCCTGTGTGCCCTTACAAGGTCCAGTAAAGTTCGAAAAAAGGGGCGGGGGGGGGGGCTCTTTGTGTCAATGCTAACCTTTTGGCTTGATGACTTGGGATGGTGAAAAAGGGGCGGGGGGGGGGGCTAAATTCTGAATATTGCTTTTTAAAACATCCAATGTGGCGGGGGAAAAGGAGAGAAGGAAGCTGACTATCATAATATACCATCTAATAAGGCACACTTTTAAACAATCTCTCTTAATATTATACCAATACAGGAGCTAAAATTGGATCACAAAAGTAGGATAATTTGTGGACCTAAACTTTGTTCAGCACTAGTTCCTCACAAGGTGAGACGATTGTACAGAGATGCAAACTTGGTGGAATGTTGTGACATATCAGAATTGATTGACATGACATGTCTCCGTGTTTGTGTTATGTAAAGAAATAGAATAGAGCCCAAGGTGTTACATTTCTAGCACTTTGTGTGAAGATGTCACGAATTTCTTTGTTGAGCTTTGTTTAGTCTCCGTTCTCCGAAATGAGAATACATAATATATTATTTCTGCATCGTGGAGACGGATACATAGATAAACAAAGGAAATGTATTGCCAGAGGAGGGGGTTTCGTTCTCACTGAGTCTAATTATGTTTGATTCTGTCTGTCTGTCTGTCTGTCTGTCTGTCTGTCTGTCTGTATGTCTGTCTGTCTGTCTGTGTATGTGTGTCACTCCCCCCCCCCCTTTCTCTCTCTCTCTGTCTCTGTCTCTCAGCCTGTCTGCCTGTCTATCTGTCTATCTGTCTGTCTGTCAGTCTGTTTGTCTGTCTGTCTGTCTGTCTGTCTGTCTGTCTCTCTGTCTCTCTCTCTCTCTCTCTCTCTCTCTCTCTCTCTCTCTCTCTCTCTCTCTCTCCACTATCTATCTATCTATCTATCTATCTATCTATCTATCTATCTATCTATCTATCTATCTATCTATCTATCAATCTATCTATCTATCTATCTATCTACTTCTGATTTTATCTCTCCGGGGGTCATATGTGTGCGTGGTAGATCCAGTAGCGATTCGGAAAGGTGGAGGGGGGGGGGGATGTGGGCTAAATTCTACATTTTGCCTTTTGAAACATTCAACAAGGCGTAAGTCAAAACGAGACAAAGAACCTGACTATCATAATATACCTTCTACACTTTTAAAAATCTCTCATAATATTATACCAATACAGGAGCTAAAATTAGGCCAAGAAAAAAGAAGTACGATAATAATGTGTGGTCTTAAACTTTATTCAAAACTAGTTCACCGCAAGGTGAGGCGATTTCCGGTAAAATAGTTCTCAATATTTGCCCTCCGATAATGTTCTCTTTGCCGATAACCTGATGAAACGGAGATTGTTTGGTGTGTGTGTGGGGGGGGGGGGGTGTATTTCTAACTGCGTCTGCCAGAAATTTCGACAGCTTGATAGGGCAGCCTTCGGGGAATTGCCGTTTTAGATTGGATGTAGAAGTAAACGGAGCGATAACTATCACTAAGTGGTGGAAGGCGCATTCTAGCGATCGCTTACGTCAGTATCACCAAAGGAAGATATTCACTGTGGGTTTTTAAAGTGAGGGTTTCATTTGCAGAACGTGCTAAACGACAAATCTGGGTATTTCGGAAAGTCCCGTCTACAAAATAATCAATAGTAACTACAGTCAAAGATCGTTCATAACAAGATAGTTCACACAAAGCCCAAAAAGTGTCCGCAGAAGTCCGGGCATTGGTTCAGATGGCGCTGCAGTCTTTGTTTTGAAGCTCTCTTTCGTTTCTGCAGAAGTATCGGAATAGAAGTTTGTTAGTTTCACTGTCATTGTTTTTCACATAATTAGGGTAACTTTGTTCGCAAAGTCCGCACTTTTTCGAAGAGGGTGCCATCGAATTTTGAGGACACTTTTTAATTGGCTCAAATAGAGAAGTGACCTGTCTTGTTTTTCACGATCTTTGGTTTAAGTGAGGCTTTCATTTGCAGAAAGTGCTGATCGACAAATCTGGGTATTTCCGGAAAATCCAGTCTATTAGTACTCGGTAATCTGATAAGAATAGCTATAGTATTGTCGTTAGAATATTTTTATTCACGAAATGCACTTTACCCTCGATTATTTAGTGGGGTAATATGGTGGGGTTTTTAATGTTTTTTGTTTGTTTGTTTTGTTGTTTGTGGTTTGTTTTGTTGTTTGTGGTGTGTTTGTTGTTATTGTTGTTGTTGTCCGTGGTGGTGGTGGTGGTGATGGTGCTGTAGTTGTTGTTGCTGTTGTTGTTTTTTGTCTGGCAGAAAGATGTCATGAACTTTTAGTTTCTACGAGTCCAGGAGAATTTACCCGGCGTCTGTGATGTCTGTTGTTGTTGTTGTTGGTGTTGATGTCTGTTGTTGTTGGTGTTGATGTCTGTTGTTGTTGGTGTTGTTGTCTGTTGTTGTTGTTGTTGATGTCTGTTGTTGTTGGTGTTGATGTCCGTTGTTGTTGTTGTTGATGTCTGTTGTTGTTGGTGTTGATGTCCGTTGTTGTTGTTGTTGTTGATGTCTGTTGTTGTTGTTGTTGTTGATGTCTGTTGTTGTTGTTGTTGATGTCTGTTGCTGTTGTTGTTGATGTCTGTTGTTGTTGTTGTTGATGTCTGTTGTTGTTGTTGTTGTTGATGTCTGTTGTTGTTGTTGTTGATGTCTGTTGCTGTTGTTGTTGATGTCTGTTGTTGTTGTTGTTGATGTCTGTTGTTGTTGTTGTTGTTGATGTC